TAACCCTTTAGTAGCTCCAGACCCTCCAACTTCAAGCACATGGCAGAAGAGCCCAGGGAGGGCAAGCACTCCCCTTCCCAGTTTGTGATATTCCTCCCTGCATTCTCCCAGAATCCTTTGGGCCAGGACCTTCAAGGGATTGGCTAGGGTTACAGAAATATTAAGTTGCTGATCAGAATCTTCCTGCCTTCTATTACCCAGAGCTCATTCAGGTGAACAAGGGAGGCAAACAATCATGCAACCTCTGGAACACAGACCAGACCAAAACAATCAAGTGTAGCTCCACCAGATACAGTGAGAAAGAATTATATTTACCTCCTCTAACACTTACAATACAACCCAAACAATTTACAGCTCCTCTGGATATAGTGACCCCCAAAACTAAATTTCCTGGCAGAACAACTAGCTCTACTACTACTGAATTAACGTATCCCAGCACTCACTGTATCCAGGAGGGTGCTACATCAACATTTTTAGGTATATTGAAATCCAAACCTTTTGATTTTCATTTTGAATGGATAGTGCATGGTTAAATCCCCACTCAGGGTTTTTTTGCCACCCGTGTCCTATTAGGAGATTTACCTTCACTTCATGTTCTGTAGACACAGCAGAGGTAAAAGGAAATCTCTCCAAAATAGAGGCAACCCCTCCAGAACAAGCATTCCCATTGGAAGATTTCCCCTCTATAATGTTCTGATGACAACTGAAAAGTTTGGAATTTCACTTTCTTTCATGCTAGAGAAAGTAGCAACCAGGACACATTAGGTTAATTTACTAAAAGGCAAGGCTGATCACTTTGAAAGTGAAGTTACACTTTGCAAGGGGTGAAGCTCTGTTGACTTTACCAATCATTAGAGATGAGCGAAGTATTCAAAAATTCGATTCGACTGATTCGGCGAATTCGTGAAAAAAATTTTGATTCGAGTCGAATATATTCGCTGCGAATTTAACTTATAAAAGGGTGTTTCTAGGCTTCAGAGAGCATTTATATTAGTGCAGAACACTGTACCTTTAATTTAAATGCCCTTGGAGTCTGCTGGGGAAGAGAAATAATACTGACACAGTCAGTATGACATGCAGATGAGTGCCGTCGATCTTAGAATCACCGCACACTTCACTCATTTGGGCAGTCACGGGCCAAAACCAGAGTGTGGAGCCACAGTGTGGCGGTGGTGGAGGCAGCAGCAATGGGAGGCCATAAAGCACCCTATGACAAAAATGGAAACCACCAGCAGTGTGAGGAGACCTTAAAGTGGCACATGGCAGAGTGTGGCGATGGAGACAGCAGCAATGGGAGGCCGTACAGGGACCCATGACACACTCTGGACCTGGCAGCAGCATGAGGAGGCGGTACGGGGGCCCATGACAGATTACGGGCCTGGCAGCAGCATGAGGAGTCGGTACGGGGGCCCATGACACACACTGGACCTGGCAGCAGCATGAGGAGGCGGTACAGGGGCGCATGACAGATTAGGGGCCTGGCAGCAGCTATGGGAGGCCCGTAATCTGCAGTACCCTATGACAAAAAATGGAACACACCAGCAGTGTGAGGAGACCTGAAAGTGGCACATGGCAGAGTGTGGCGATGGAGACAGCAGCAATGGGAGGCCGTACAGGGACCCATGAGAGACTGTGGACCTGGCAGCAGCATGAGGAGGGGCGGTAGGGGCCCATGGCAGATTAGGGCTGGCAGCAGCAGCTATGGGAGGCCCGTAATCTGCCAGCACCCTATGTCAAAAAATTGAACACACCAGCAGTGTGTGAGGAGACCTGAAAGTGGCACATGGCAGAGTGTGGCGATGGAGACAGCAGCAATGGGAGGCCGTACAGGGACCCATGAGAGACTCTGGACTTGGCGGCAGCAGCATGAGGAGGCGGTATAGGGGCCCATGGCAGATTAGGGGCCTGGCAGCAGCTATGGGAGGTCCGTAATCTGCCAGCACCCTATGTCAAAAAATTGAACACACCAGCAGTGTGAGGAGACCTGAAAGTGGCACATGGCATGACAGCAGCAATGGGAGGCCGTACACATGTGGACCTGGCAGCAGCATGAGGAGGCGGTATAGGGGCCCATGGCAGATTAGGGGCTGGCAGCAGCTATGGGAGGCCCGTAATCTGCCAGCACCCTATGTCAAAAAATTGAACACACCAGCAGTGTGTGAGGAGACCTGAAAGTGGCACATGGCAGAGTGTGGCGATGGAGACAGCAGCAATGGGAGGCTGTACAGGGACCCATGAGAGACTGTGGACCTGGCAGCAGCATGAGGAGGCGGTATAGGGGCCCATGGCAGATTAGGGGCCTGGCAGCAGCTATGGGAGGCCCGTAATCTGCCCACCCTATGTCAAAAAAATGGAACACACCAGCAGTGTGTGAGGAGACCTGAAAGTGGCACATGGCAGAGTTGTGTGGCGATGGAGACAGCAGCAATGGGAGGTACAGGGACCCATGAGAGACTGTGGACCTGCAGCAGCAGCATGAGGAGGAGGCGGTATAGGGGCCCTTGGCAGATTAGGGGCCTGGCAGCAGCTATGGGAGGCCCGTAATCTGCCAGCACCCTATGACAAAAAATGGAACACACCAGCAGTGTGTGAGGAGACCTGAAAGTGGCACATGGCAGAGTGTGGCGATGGAGACAGCAGCAATGGGAGGCCGTACAGGGACCCATGAGAGACTGTGGACCTGGCAGCAGCATGAGGAGGCGGTATAGGGGCCCATGGCAGATTAGGGGCCTGGCAGCAGCTATGGGAGGCCCGTAATCTGCCAGCACCCTATGACAAAAAATGGAACACACCAGCAGTGTGTGAGGAGACCTGAAAGTGGCACATGGCAGAGTGTGGCGATGGAGACAGCAGCAATGGGAGGCCGTACAGGGACCCATGAGAGACTCTTGGCAGCAGTTGAGGAGGCGGTCAGGGGCCCTGGCAGATTAGGGAAATCTGGCAGCAGCAATGGGAGGCCCGTAATCTGCCAGCACCCTATTTCAAAAAAGTCTCTCCACACCAGCAGTGTGTGAGGAGACCTGAAAGTGGCACATGGCAGAGTGTGGCGATGGAGACAGCAGCAATACCTCCTGCCAGGGACCCATGAACACGCGCTCCGATGCCACGCTGGCAGCAGGGCATGACAGCCTTTCAGGGGCCCATGGCAGATTGGGGCCTGGCAGCAGTTGGGAGGCCCGTAATCAAGGGGATTGTCTACCTCGGAACAGGGTGCAGTCCAGTAGGAGGAGACCTGAGGTCCTGCTCCAGGTCCACCTGATGCTGCTGCAGCAGCTGCTGCGGCTGGTTAGTAGTTTCCTCACTGCGCTGGTGAAGAAAGCTACTCATCATCGACTGCAGACTGAGGGCAGCGCTGCTGGTGGAGCTGCCACTGCTCCTACCACCCCCCTCCCCTGCTGCATGGCAGGCAGGGAACGCGGCCCATGGCAGCCCACAGGGCCTGGCAGCAGCAGCATCTGAGGTAATCTGGCACGTTGGCGCAGAAAAGGCAGAGACCAACTGACTACATAGGTGGTTTTTTATAGTACGTTATTTTGGCCTCCCTCTCAGCAGTGTGTGAAAAAGGCCAGCATTTGGGAGGCCGTAGCGAGGGTCCAACAAGGTGGACAGCCAAAAGTCATGGCAGCTCATGTCTGAGGGTTATTAGGGGCCCATGTCGCTACGCAAGCTGGCGAGCAGCTATGGGCCATTTGTGCCAAGGAATGCGAGGGACTCCCTGCCTCCATCACACAGCATACTGCCACGGTGCGTCTGGGTCCTCTGTCTCCTCCTCCTCCTCCTCTACCAGATGCTCCTGCTCCTCCACTCCTGTCCGCTGAGTGGAAAAAACCACCCATTTCACTCAATAATTCCTGCAGCACCAATGAGGTCCTCCTCTACCTCCTCCTCTTCTTCCTGTCCTGCCCCCACAGGGGTCATGTGGCGTTGAGATCTGTGCGCCACGTCTACCGCACCCTGACCAGCCATTGTTAACAGCAATGGTTCCAGGACGTGCAACAGAGGAATGACGTCGTTCATCCCATAGGCTGCAGCATCACGAATAGCGTGGCCTCCTGGCAGATTAGGGCCTGAGCAAGCGCAGGTGAGGCCCGCATGAGCTGCCAATGGCTGACCATCAAAAAATTACACACCAGTACCAGTGTGTGAGGAGATCCGAAAGTAACATGGCAGGAAATGGTGTGATGGGCCAGCAGCAATGTTCGGAGGGGTACAGTCTAACATGATGTAGGGTTGAATTCCACCTTGTTGCAACGCAGCATGAGGAGTCGGTACGGGGGCCCATGGCAGATTACGGGCCTGGCAGCAGCAATGGGAGGCCCGTAATCTGCCAGCACCCTATGACAAAAAATGGAACACACCAGCAGTGTGAGGAGACCTGAAAGTGGCACATGGCAGAGTGTGGCGATGAACAGCAGCAATGGGAGGCCGTACAGGGACCCATGAGAGACTGTGGACCTGGCACATGGCATGAGACACTGTGGCATGGCAGCAGCATGAGGAGGCGGTACAGGGGCCCATGGCAGATTAGGGGCCTGGCAGCAGCTATGGGAGGCCCGTAATCTGCCAGCACCCTATGTCAAAAAATGGAACACACCAGCAGTGTGTGAGGAGACCTGAAAGTGGCACATGGCAGAGTGTGGCGATGGAGACAGCAGCAATGGGAGGCCGTACAGGGACCCATGAGAGACTCTGGACCTGGCAGCAGCATGAGGAGGCGGTATAGGGGCCCATGGCAGATTAGGGGCCTGGCAGCAGCTATGGGAGGCCCGTAATCTGCCAGCACCCTATGACAAAAAATTGGAACACACCAGCAGTGTGAGGAGACCTGAAAGTGGCACATGGCAGAGTGTGGCGATGGAGACAGCAGCAATGGAGGCGTACAGGGACCCATGAGAGACTCTGGACCTGGCAGCAGCATGAGGAGGCGGTATAGGGGCCCATGGCAGATTAGGGGGGCCAGCAGCAGCTATGGGAGGCCCGTAATCTGCCAGCACCCTATGACAAAAAATGGAACACACCAGCAGTGTGAGGAGACCTGAAAGTGGCACATGGCAGAGTGTGGCGATGGAGACAGCAGCAATGGGAGGCCGTACAGGGACCCATGAGAGACTCTGGACTGGCAGCAGCATGAGGAGGCGGTACAGGGGCCCATGGCAGATTAGGGGCCTGGCAGCAGCTATGGGAGGCCCGTAATCTGCCAGCACCCTATGACAAAAAATGGAACACACCAGCAGCAGTGTGAGGAGACCTGAAAGTGGCACATGGCAGTGTGGCGATGGATGGAGACAGCAGCAATGGGAGGCCGTACAGGGACCCATGAGAGACTCTGGACCTGGCAGCAGCATGAGGAGGCGGTATAGGGGCCCATGGCAGATTAGGGGCCTGGCAGCAGCTATGGGAGGCCCGTAATCTGCCAGCACCCTATGACAAAAAATGGAACACACCAGCAGTGTGTGAGGAGACCTGAAAGTGGCACATGGCAGAGTGTGGCGATGGAGACAGCAGCAATGGGAGGCCGTACAGGGACCCATGAGAGACTCTGGACCTGGCAGCAGCATGAGGAGGCGGTATAGGGGCCCATGGCAGATTAGGGGCCTGGCAGCAGCTATGGGAGGCCCGTAATCTGCCAGCACCCTATGACAAAAAAATGAACACACCAGCAGTGTGAGGAGACCTGAAAGTGGCACATGTTTGGGCATGATTCATGGCGGATTTAGTCAGTTGTGTCAGGAACTGGTGGTTTGAAATCCAGACTAATCCACGCCTGATTCATTTTCACAAACGTGAGTCTCTCCACACTTTGGGTGGACAGTCGTGTCCTCCGCGGAGTTACAATACCTCCTGCCGCACTAAACACGCGCTCCGATGCCACGCTACTGGCCGGGCATGACAGCCTTTCAAGGGCAAATTCAGCTAGTTGGGGCCAAAGGTCAAGTTTCGTTGCCCAGTAGTCAAGGGGATTGTCTACCTCGGTTGGCAGGGTGCTGTCCAAGTAGGCCCAAGCCTGTTGTTTGAGGTCCTGCTCCAGGTCCACCTGATGCTGCTGCTGCTGCTGCGGCTGGTTAGTAGTTTCCTCACTGCGCTGGTGAAGAAAGCTACTCATCATCGACTGCAGACTGAGGCAGCCGCTGCTGGTGGAGCTGCCACTGCTCCTACCACCCCACCCCTCCCCTGCTGCCATGGCAGCGGAACGCGAGCGCACAGGGCCCACAGTGTCTGAGGATGGACGTTGGCGCACAAAGGCAGAGACCAACTGACTACATAGGTGGTTTTTATAGTACGTTATTTTGGCCTCCCTCTCAGCAGGTGTGAAAAAGGCCACCATTTTTGAACGGTAGCGAGGGTCCAACAAGGTGGACAGCCAAAAGTCATCCCTCTGTCTGATGGTTATTATTCGGCTGTCGCTACGCAAGCAAACCGAGCATGCTATGGGCCATTTGTGCCAAGGAATGCGAGGGACTCCCTGCCTCCATCTCCACAGCATACTGCCACGGTGCGTCTGGGTCCTCTGTCTCCTCCTCCTCCTCCTCTACCAGATGCTCCTGCTCCTCCACTCCTGTCCGCTGAGTGGAAAAACCACCCATTTCACTCAATAATTCCTGAGCACAAATGTCCTCCTCTACCTCCTCCTCTTCTTCCTGTCCTGCCCCCACAGGGGTCATGTGGCGTTGAGATCTGTGCGCCACGTCTACCGCACCCTGACCAGCCATTGTTAACAGCATTTGTTCCAGGACGTGCAACAGAGGAATGACGTCGTTCATCCCATAGTCCTGCCGACTCACGAATAGCGTGGCCTCCTCAAAGGGCCTGAGCAAGCGGCAGGTGTCACGCATGAGCTGCCAATGGCTGACATCGAAGTTACACAGGGGAGTACCTTTATCCGCTTGTAACATCAGGAAATCGGTGATGGCCTTTCGCTGTTCGTAAAGGCGGTCTAACATGTGTAGGGTTGAATTCCACCTTGTTGCAACGTCGCAGATCAGGCGATGCTGTGGAATTCCGTTCTGCCGCTGCAGCTCAAGGAGGGTGTGCTTTGCGGTGTAGGAATGGCTGAAATGCATGCAAAGTTTACGTGACATTTTAAGGATGTCTTGCAGTGGGATGGTGGATTTTAGGAACCGCTTGACAACCAGATTGAACACGTGAGCCATGCATGGCGCATGGCACAACCTTCCTTGACGCAGAGCAGACACCATGTTCTTTCCGTTGTCGGTCAACATGGTTCCGATTTTCAGTTTGCGCGGAGACAGCCATCTGTCGATTTCTCTGTTCATTACACTGAGAAGTTCCTCCCCTGTGTGACTACGTTCGCCAAGGCATACCAGGTGCAGCACAGCGTGACACCGTTGCGCCCTGCACATGTGATATGCCGGTCGGGTAATGGGACTTGGCACGGGGGGTGGCGGCTGAGGACACGGCGGAAGAAGAGGTGGTAGAGGCGGACATCTTTTGTGGACCAAGGACGTGCAAACGTGGAGGCAAAAGCGGCGTGACCTGTCCAAGTTGCTGGTGCGGCTGTGACGGCACCACGTTCACCCAGTGGGCCGTAAATGACATGTACTGTCCCTGACCGTAGTTACAGCTCCACACGTCGGCGCTGCCGTGCACTTTGGCAGAGACCGACATGCTCAAAGACTGGCCCACCATCTCTTCTACATGTGAATGCAGGGCTGGCACTGCCTTTTTGGCGAAGAAATGACGGCTTGGCACTCTCCACCGCGGCGCGGCACAAGCCATCATTTCTCGGAAAGGTGCTGAGTCCACCACTTGGAAAGGGAGGGACTGCAGCACCAGCAACTTGGACAGGAGGACGTTCAGCTTTTGCACCGTCGGGTGCGTGCTCGCAAACTGTTGTCTCTTGGAAACGGATTCCAAGAAAGACTGCTGACGGAATCCGTGAAGAGGAGTAGCAGGAGAAGGAGCATCTGAACGAGCGGAAGATGCCAACGAGCGACACAACTCCCCTCAGCAGAGGTGTTGGAGCCTTGACTGGCTGATAGAGGGCGATTGACGTCGGGTGACGGAGCAAGTAACGGAGCGGGTGATGGAGCGGGGGCTGGGGCAGGCAGAACCGCCGTATCTTTATCACGGTTTTCCCAGGCCACCAAATGGCGACGCTGCATATGCTGCCGCAACGCTGTAGTCCCAACATGGGCCCCCTGGCCACGCTTGACTTTCTGGCCACATAGTCGACATACGGCTACGTTTACTTCCTCGGGCGGCTTGACGAAAAATTGCCACACCGCCGAGTAGGAAACTTTGCCCCCGATACTCCTCACTGGCTGACTGCTGATGATGCGGAAGCAATAGCCTGATGACGACGAGGCTGCCAAGTGCGATCAGCCTCATCATCATCAATTAGGGTCTCCGCCTCACTACTAGCCCCCTCGGCTGCGTGTGGGTCAGGAGACAGACCTGTCTCTAGACCGGCTACCGAGCCACTCTCCTCGCCACTACTTCTTCGCCTGGCTGCTGCCCC